AAAAAAGAAAATGTTACATGTTCAGTGAAAATATGGTAATATCTTACTGTGTATATAAAAACATTACTTTTTCTAAGTTATATTTAGTAGTCTACCTTGTAGGTCAATTTTCTTTAAGATGATACACCTTAATTCATAGCCATAATAAGGATCAGATACTCTAATTACAATAAAACACTTTGCCTAAATATAGGTACAAAATAAATTGCTAAAACTATAAATATACTAAATTATAACGTGTAAGAGAAAAACTTTTCTAAATCATATTTTAAAATAGACGTACTTATCCCAACCAAGAGCTCCTATCTCTTCAATGAGGCTTGAGTAGTACTGGGGAGGAGGAGGTAGGACAGGTAGCTCTTGTTTATTCTTTAAAGCAACCTCCTATTTAAAAGAAAAAACCTGAATCAGTTCTGGAATGCTAGCCAATGAATTATTAGTACCTGATTACAAAACACAATTTTATAATCGTTGTGCCTAAATAAAGTGGCCATTATTTTTATAGAAAATCCAGCTAAATCATTTCCTTCCTTATAAAAAAAGAGACATGAAAAAGTTAAAGGACTGCACTAAAGGTCATGTAAAAATGTCAATTATTATACCATATAAACTTAAGGCTTTAATATTCTCCTAGATTACTATGCCTATCAGAGATGAGAAAAGTTCAAAAAGAAAAAACTCATCCTCAAGGCTTCACTATTTTTCTACCCCTGTAGATATAGCGTTTGATAGAACAAAACACATACTGTTAAAGAATTAAAGCCTGAACTCTATGTATACTGCCTAGACTGATATATTTGTACACAGTTATGAATCACTTTCTTACAAACAAAACCTCTTCATTATCACAGTAAGTACTTACCTGTTAATTTTCTTTTACTGACTTACATTCTGTATTGCTCCCAGATGAGCTAAGTGTTTTGCCATCTATCTGGCTAGATCACAGTTCATTTCCCTGCTAAGCCCACCTATGATATCTTTAAGATGGTTTATGTTCCCCCAAACAAAACTAAAATTTAATTTTTTTAATAAGCAATACAAACATCACTAGAATTGCCGAGGCTAAAAATTACCGATTACTTCAAAGGTGCTAACCTAGACAAATATCTTATTTGGGAAGTAAAAATAAATGTATCTATGAATTACACAGATGTTCATATGGTCTGGATTATCAAACGGTGTTGTAAAAAGTAAAGAAATAAAATTTTTAAAAATCAGATATAACAAAACCATATGCGAACAAGTATAAAAAGCTTTAAATATTTCTGGCAACCCTAATAAAAAGTATAGATTTTTATTCATTTGAGTATATGTTTAATCTATTAGTCCTTATCCTTTTCTTAAACAAGGACTGGACACTATTAAATTAAGATAACACTAGAAAGAATACATTTTTATAAAACAGCATTTCAAAATCAGAACTATTTACTGAAACTACTTTACTACAGTTCTAAATCTGCTTTAGGTTAAAAATAAACAAAATTGTGACGCAGGTTTGTGAAGCTCAGAATGTCAGCTTGAATTAGAAGGGAAGTCCCTACAAGACAAGGATATACGGCCCTTTTTTATAAACTTAAATACCTAATGCTATATGTAAATACCCTGATGGTCTTTAAAAATAAATTTGTACCTAAAATTATCCTGTTACTAAAAATGACAGTAATAGTCAGTCTAGTTCCTGTACTTATACTTGTAAGAGCTACATGGTACTTCATTTGAAAATTTTTTCAATTCAAAAATATTAATTACAGCTATCCACATATAATGAAGGTAAAAGTAAATTTAGATAATAGTAAAAATGTATTTTAATCTGGTTTATGACACTTGTAAACTCTGCCTTCAACCTTGGGTCAGACAAGTTATTCCTATTCTATAACCATAAGAGAGACGGGCAAAGGAGAAGCAAAGTCTTCTTTGTGGAGAGGTAAGCAAAGGAACACAGAAGAAAGAACACAGGCTTTACAAACAGGTTTTAAATCCTAACTTTAAACACTTCCTAGTTTTAAGGCCTTAAGCACTCAGTGACTCAGCTCCAAAAAAATTAAATAATCTACCTCACAGAGTTTTTTTTTAAATACAATTGTTCATTTATTAAATATATACCAAACTCCTACTATATGCCTACTTATTACTAGAAAACTCCATGCAAGATTAACAGTTTCCTAAATTCAGCAGTTACTGATTTCATTTGGGCAACATTCTCAATACTTGCACCAGTGATTATATTGAATGAACCTATTACTGACAACACAATCTAATAAACTAATAATTCTTATATTTTTAGGTACAGTCATAAATGTGCAATAACATCATTAACTCTGTCCATAATTTCTAAGAAAGCTAAAAACACAGGATCTCATTTTATTCAGAAATGCAATAACAAATGTACTAATCAGAACACTGAATCAGACATCAATCTCAATATTTTATTTTAGTTTTAAATTAAGGAGTATTTCTTCAAAATTAAATGGCCAATAGAGCCATGCTTGCAACCTAATAAAGCTAGCTTCAGTAACAAAGCTTGATGGGTCACAGAATATGTAGTTTTACTCTGGTTCCCTTAGTCCTTCTATTTGTATAGCTTATTAAATTTATAATAAAAAGATACAAGAAACTTTTCAAACTTTTGTCCAATGTCAAGGGGATATAAACCAAAATAACTTCACTTCATCGTATCTTCTGTAAGGTTATCGTATTTTCGCCTTTGACAAAATTTATAATCAGTTTTGATAATCCTTATTAGTTAGGGTTTACAAATTTATAAGTCAAAATTAAGCTTCAGAAGTTGACTTCATACTCTTTATTTTGATCCCAAACATTTTACCAAAGTCCCACCTTAGAGGGTTGTTCTGAGGATTAAGAAGAGGACTCAAATCTAGCAGCTCAATACGTGGCAGCTGCTGCTAACAATAAAAAGTCTTCAAAAAGAACCACAAAAAAAAAATCAAACTGCTTTCAGTTGTTAGTTCAATATATTGCTAGTAGGAATTACTGGTATTGTAATTTTGTATAACAAATATAAAGAAGTATTTTATAGATACAAGAAAAGTATAAGTAAAACATAACAAGTAAAAACGTAATAAAATGTTAATATTAGAAATGAAGATTTTCAGATTTAAGAGAAAAGAGATACAAGCATAAAATCAAAGTAAAATCCCTATAATGCCATATTTGAACTGAAAATACTGAAACAAACTCATAATTATTTTATTAAACAGTACTTTTTTCTAGCTTTGTCTGCTGAAAAGGCCTAGAAGTAATAGCAATGAACACTCCAGTTTCAGACTGTGGGATCCAAATACCATTTTCTACAAAGAAACTATGGGTCTTTGGAAGAGTGACTGATCACAGTTCTGCAATAGGATGAGTTAATGAAACTGGGGCAACCAGTGTCATAAAGCAAAGCTTGGGTTGTGTTAAAAGAACTCAGGAGCCAACATGAAGGCGCTTACACTGACCAAAAATGGTACAATTTAAGCACTGAAAAGAATAATGATTGCAATGGATTAAAGTTAGTCAAGTATATAAAAACCCATGAGTTCATAATAATACTAAAAAAAGAAAATAATCACTAGTTCCCTTTGACAGTTGCTAAGCACCAACTCATTATTCTAAAAATTGACTTTAAAGAAAGGGAGGGGACAAGAAACAAGCACTTATTCTCTCTCTCCATTGAAAGCTACACCTCAAATTAACCAAATAACTGATGAGAGTAAGTTGTTCTCTGTAAAAGATTTTCAGCTAATAAACGTAGGCAACAGATTTTATAAAACCACCACTTCCAGCCCTAATGAAATATTGGATATAGGCAATGACCATCATTGGATGCTAAAATCATCAGGTGACAGGTTGATGGGAAACTTTGTACTGGATGCACCTAAACCTATTGATCAATCTTAACCCTACTACAAGAGGAGCTATCAGACACTATATGCCTCCTGATGCAAAGTTAGAAATACAGCACACAAAGTAGTCTTGCCAGAACAAATAAATTCAACTCTGTTGAGACTCTCTAGATCTAACTGCCAGATTATGAAAAAAGGTAGACAAATAAGTTAAAAGGTACCATGAATATCTAGTATATCAAATCTAGAATGTAGGAAATTTTATAAGACACAAAATCTGGTTTACTCAGTAAGTAGGTGGCATGGGAAAAAAAAGGGATAAGGAGAAAAGGAGGTGCTGCTATACAGGAGGTACATAGAGACTTAAGAGACGTATCAACTGAATATAACGTGTGCACCTTGTTTGTATGCTGATACAAACAAAGCAGTTATAAGGAATTAACACTAATTTTGCTGGGGTTATAACAGCATTTTTTTAATTGAAACTTTACTTGTTTAAAATTTTACTTTGTTTTGTTTTGTTTTTTTTAATGGATCAGGTCCTGGGGATTGAACTCAGGACACTGTGCACGCATAACACGAGTTCTACCACTGAGCTACCCACCTCCCTTCATGACAGCGTATTTTAAAACAGACAAAAAGCACTTAGGTGTTAAAGTATACGCTGACGTATTTATGGAGGTATGGATACAAAATCCAGAGTTTCCTTTAAAATACTCCACTCTCTTTGTCCTAAGAGTAGGGGAAGAAGTATGACTGGCAAAATTTTGAAGTTAGGTCATAGGCCCATGAATAGTCACTAAAGTCTTCCCTCTTCTGTTTATGTTGAAAACTTGCATAATAAAATTCTGTTCTAAATAATAAAATGTCCATAGGATAAACTAAATAATCCAGTATTTTATGCATAATTAATCAAATGATTATGATATGTAACATATGTATGTAATTAAGCCTAACAAACTTTTCAGAAATCTTCAGTTGTATACAAAAGTTATATATCATAACAGGGTTAGAAAACAAATCCTTACCAAAACCATCTTCAACTCCATCATAAAGCTCATTAGATCAGGAGAGTGCTGCATTCTCTAGATCAAAACAACATTTCCAATTAATTTTCATATGTACAATGAATATTCCATGCACTGAAGTTGAAATAAAATCCTAGTCCATGTGAATATGAAAAAAACTAGCTATATCTATGTCTTAAAACGATAAGAACCGAAGCATTGATCATTATCCCTACTATTCCTACCAATTTCATTCTTAAAGAGAATTAAAGCCCTCAAATCTGTTTTGGTGAGATATACTGAATTATATAAGAATGTCACTTAAAATCTCACACACTCATTTCTTCAGCACTAATTATTGCCAAGTTTAATAAATCTAGCAAACCACATCACTATTAAGGGGGAAAAAAGACGGTATGAATGAAAGGAGTGTCAAGAGGAGCATAAAACATAAAAATCAGGCAAGTCTATACAATTAAAAAATCTAGTTAGAGCAATGAATTAGCAATCAAAATATTGTCTATTTTAATGTTTTCCTTGACCTTAAAGACTACCTATAATTGTTAATTTTGTCCTTTTACAACTAGCCCATATTAATTCAAAAGGAATCAATCTTTCAATAAGGTAAAATCATTATAATAAAATGGTAAAAAGGAAGTAATTTCTGAAGTAGAATGAATATTCAAGTCATGGTTCCATTTCCTAGAAATCTGATTCTTCAAAGAAAATAACTATAGAATAAAAGAAAGCAAAAATAAATCTCATTTAAAATTGCTTTCTTAGATAAATCTCTACATCATTCCTCTACTTGAAATCAAAATAATGTATTTGTTACTTTTTCTGAGGCCCTGGACTATCACCATGGTTCTGAACAAAGCTGATATGTAAATTCACTATTTTTAGATGAGAAAAATAGTAATCTCAGATATTTCAACAATACATGAAATATATGATTCACATCTTAACACAGCTTTGGGTGGGCACACGTTTGTAGAACCAATCTTTGACTTTTCCTTCTTCTATACAGTATTTTCCCCATAGTTTACTAGAGATGGTAATACATCATATCAAAGATGTGCAAACTACAGCCCAGAGGCTGAGTCCAGACCAAGAGCTGTTTCTGTAAATAGAGTTGTAATGAAATGCAACCACGTCTACTCATTTACCTCTTGTCAAGGCTGCTTTGGTGCTACAAGGGCAGAGTTGAGTGATTATGACAGAACGTAGGACCCACAAAACCTGACAAATTTACTACTTGGCCCATCAAAGAAAAAGGCTGTTGACCTCCCCCCACCCATAATTACTAAAGTTAAAAATGATACCAGGAAAGAATAGTAATATTCACCAGGACTTTGGAATAAAACAAAGACTCAAACTAACACTGGGTTCTATGTGACCAACTGGAAGACAGGGAGGAAATAAGTAACTGCAACTTTTTCTAGGAACCCTCTTGGTGAACTGGTGGAGAAAAACTGTTATAGAGCTGATTATTATTCTTAATCTTTATTAACAAGTTTTCTTCAAGCTATTCAGATATCTCATTAGATTCATTTCTTAAACTTTAGTATTTGATACAGTCACAGTGGATGCGGTGGGGGCAGTGGAGAGAAAACAGAAATAATTTAAACATTCCCTTAAAAATCTGCTGTAATTATACTGCCAGCAAAGACAGCCTACATTCTACAAATCAAATAGTTTATCTCCTGTATTTCTTTGTGGTTCAGTAAAGCTTTAAGTGAGTATGACTGTCACTGTCAGTTACCAAAGATAATAACCTGCTTTAAGATAAGAGAAAATAAAGGAAATCAGGAAAAACATACAAATGAATAAAGCATCAAAAGAAAGGCAGTTCTACTTACATTTATTTTTCTACAAGAGGCATTTCATTATTTTCAGTTGTTCAGTAACTACTTTTTGTTTGTTTCTCTAATCTTTAAAGGTATTTTGGGGTAGAGGAAACAAAACGTTAAGAATTTTAACAAATTTTGAATTGGAGTGGGCAGGTGGGTGGAGTGTGTGAAGGATGATAAAAGTACAAACTTAGTTACAAAATTTTAAAAAATAAAGAATAACTAAATTAATCCTGACTATTTCACCAATCCTGCCTTTACATCTACTCTCATTACGTAGGCATACATGATCCTAAGTGATTTCCACCCCACCTTTCTGTTG